TAAATTATCGGACTTCTCATTTATAAAAACGTAACATGTTTATACATGTTATAACAGAATGTGATACATTACATATCACATCAGACAATATTTTTTTTGCATCGTAAGATATAAATCATTGAAACAGTGGTTAAATTTCACTCAAAAATATTAAAATAGGTGCCACTCATAAAACGATGTCACATCACTCCTGTGTCACTTCACTTCACGATTGTTACACTCTAGTACAGGGATGGCGAACCAATGGCACGCGTGCCATTCATGGCACGCGACACAATATTTTGGGCACACCACCGATCACAATTGTTATTGCACTATGAATTGCTATTACGCAAATGTTATTACACTTTGAAGCATATGTAACAATTAAATAAAAATTCACAAAAAAACAAACGAAATAATAAACAATTATTAATAAAAAAATTTACAATTAATGCTAAAAAAGCAATTAATAACCATAAAAAACAAACTAACAATAGATAACTAGCAAAAAAAATCAACAGTCCTGCTTAAACTAATATCTTACAACCTAATATAATTTATTTGCCATCTAATCTCCAACAACAGAAGTCCCACTGATGTTGCTTTAAGTTGAATTACGCCTGTAACTGAGACATTGCAAAAAAAAAAATTTTCCAATGTAAATAAAGAGTTTTGAGTTGATAGTATTTAGTATTAATATTTTCCCTATAATCATGAAGTCAAAATTATTTGACGGCATGTTTGTGACTTCATTAAACAATTTTTTCGAAAAAATGGCACGTTGGTGTATAAAGGTTCGCCACCCCTGCTCTAGTATATAAACAGATGCTAACATTCCAAAAACGAAATACATATTTTAAACTAAATTAATATTTTAAACTTCAACAACGGCAGTTGTGGGCATAATAATGATTAGATAAAAGCGTAGATTGGATTATGATTAGAACAGATTAATGACTAAATCTAAATTTTTTTTTGAATAAAAAATATATAATTGCATATTCAAAATATTGTAATTTTAATCAAAATGTGGTATGTCACTTTTTACCTCCTTCCTCTCCTATGTCACGAAATTACGAACCTCTTCCCTACCTTCTAAGTGTGACATCATTTATGTTCGACCCCATGATTTTTTAAAAAAAATAGCTAAAGCATCTAAAATGTTTCATATAATGTTTACATACTTAGAGTTTGTTTAATTCCCATCCTTTAAAAAACTCCCACATCAGACATAGTTTATAGCATCGTTTGATCTCTACCAAGATCATCATCGTTACTTACCAAGAATACTGTTTAAGATTGGTGCAGTATTCTGTCTGTTCTAAGTTTAATGGCCTAAGTAGAATAGCCTTGCCATGCTCCTGAAGGTGACGCCATTATTTTTATTTTACAATCCTTCTTTTTAATATTTTCGTTTGTTTCCGCGTGCCAACTCCGCCGTGCCAAACTATGGCACGCGTGTTGACAATCCATAAAGAAGTCTTTTCGTAATACAGCTAGGAAAGAAAGAAGGAAAAAAAAAAGGTACGAAATTGACCCCTCCTTTAAGTTTGTTTTGACACAATCTCACGAAACCTTCTCCTATTTTCATAACAGAGAAAAACAAACAAGACGACCGAAGATAAAAAAAAAAGAAAAAACTAATTAATTGATTAATATTTCAAGATGGAAGAGGGGGGGAGGGTGGTAAGTCATTTTTCGTGTTTGGCTCGTTTCATTTCAATCTTCCTCGACAACAAAAATAATTGAAGAAAAAAAAAGAAAAAAGAAAGTGGAAATGGAGACAAAAATCAGAGGCGTGCAGCAGCAGCATCAGAGAGAAATAGAATCCTCATTCATCAAATTCAACCGACGATGAGTGATTGCTTGAAGAAGTAAACAAGAAAATAAGGAGGAGAGAGAGAAGAAAAAGAAAAACCGAAATAGATTCGTCCTTCAATCACCCCATATCACTTACCTCTTCTCTCTTTTACAAGAGCAACAACAACCAGAACTTTCCATTAAATTATCGGACTTCTCATTTATAAAAAAATTTCGATAGGCTAAAAGATTCAAAATTACTTAAAAACACCGGATCCCATCAAATATAAAGCTGCTCAAATGTAACGTAAGCACCTAATTGCGGAGGAGGGACGTAACGTAAGCAATGCATACCCAAGTCAAAATTCCTGACGGTCCCATAATTTTGATGGTTTATGTAGGTTTCAGTGCGATTAATGATGGCCCAACATAATTTGATGGTTACTATTGTTGAGAAATGTACGGGAACCGATTATCCGGAACGATCGGGACCATCGCTATTCCGGATAACTGATTTTTCCGGTTTTCTGAATCGCTGTAAAAAGCCGTTTTTTCTATTGTTATTATTCCAACTAAAAAAAAACTTTTTGGAAATAATCTTAAAAAGAAGAAAAAACGATGAAGTAATACACTACTGATTATTTCCGAAATGATGGTAAGGTAAACATCTTTCAAAAAAGAAAGAAAAATACTAAAATCTTATGAGGAAAAAAAAATTTTTCTTGAAAAAAATGGCGGAAAAATTTATCGAATTTCATTCCGGTTTTTTGGTTTACCGGTTTTCTGATTTCCGGATTACGGGTTTTGTACTGTAGTAGTAAATTAGCTTAATTTGAAATCTCCCCACTAGAGGGCTGATATTCTGTGCAGTAGAA